TGTAAGAGATAACTTCTTATTTATAAGGAGAAAATCCAGTGAGTGGTTAGGAGCCTGGGGTCTGGCATCAAAACAGCTGAGTTCAAATCCTAGCTCAGATACTTCTCAGGGAAGACTACCTTGTCTGTTTCTTCATTTGCAACATAGGAATAGTTTCTATCGTGCCTGAAACTAATATAACGTTCTGTGTCAATTGTACCTTAAAAGGAAAAAAAAATTTTTTTTTCTCACAGGGCTGTTGTGAGGCTTAAATGAGTTAACACATATAATTAGAACTTAGAATAGCACCTGGCATGTACACAGGAAGAATTCCAGAAGTTAGCAGTAATTATTAGAAAAACTCAAGTAGCAAAACATGAAGGCAGAGCTTCCTAAAGAAATTTTACCTGTGTTATCTTGTTGACTCCTCATTACATATTCATTACATAAGTTTTCTCAGCCCCATTTTAAAGAGAGGCAAACCTAGTTGCTGAGAAGGTATGATTTCTGTTAGTTCACATGACTGGAAAGCGGTGGACTGGGGACTCATACTCAGATGATTCTGTCTAAATATGGGTCATGGTTTTAAAAGGAAGGTATACAAGAACCAAATAACATTTTTGTTTAAAATGCATCTGATTGGAACATAAATTGATGCAGTCACTGTGGAGAACAGTATGGAGGTTGCTTAAAAACTAAACATAGGGTACTTCCTTGATGGTCCTGTGGTTAAGAGTGTGCTCTGGGATAGCGGGGCACAAGTTCGATCCCTGGTCGGAGAACTACGATCCCACATGCTGCAGGGCAACTAAGCATGCATGCCACTATGAAAGAGCCCGTGTGATGCAATGAAGATCCCATGTGCTGCAAGTAAGACCAGATGGAACAAAAAAAAAAAAGACTAAACATAGAACTACCATATGATCCAGTAATCCCACTACTGGGCACATACTCTGAAAGAGCCATAATCCGAAAGGACACATGTACCCCAGTGCTCATTTCAGCACCATTTATGATAGCCAGGACATGGGAACAACCTGAAAGTCGATTAAGAGATGAATGGATAAGGAATATGTGGTACATACACATGATGGAATATTACTCGGTCACCAACAGGAATGAAATAGGGTCATTTGTGGACATGTGGATGAACCTAGAGTCTGTCATACAGAGTGAAGTAAGTCAGAAAGAGAGCAATAAATACCGTGATTAACACACATACATGAAATCTAGAAAAATGATACAGATGAACCTATTTCCAAGGCAGGAATAAAGATGCAGATGTAGAGAATGGACATGTGGACACAGAGTGGGAAGGGAGGATAGGACGAATTGGGAGATTAGGGTTGACATATGTACACTACCATGTATTAATATAAAATAGATAGCTAGTAGGAACCTGCAGTAAGGCACAGAAGCTGAGTTCATGCTCTGTGATGACCCAGATGGGTGGGATGGGGGGCGTGGGTGGGAGGGAGGTCCAAGAGGGAGGATATATATGTATGCATAAGGCTGATTCACTTCATCATACAGCAGAAACTAACACAACATTGTAAAGCAATTGCATTCCAACAAAAGAAACTTTTAAAAAAGAAAAAGGCACCTGAATTCAATTTACTGAGATGCTGGGTGGACAGTTCTGTTCTGTAGTCCAGGAATCTGCATTGTAACCTGAAGCAGTTGGTTCCTGACTACCCTTAAGAAACACTGATTTAGCATCTGTGTTCTTTCCATCTCACAATGATGCTGCGTTTAAAAGATAAAAGGACTGTGGCCCACTAGGCTCCTCTGTCCATTGAATTTTCCAGGCAAGAATACTCGAGTGGGTTACCATTTCCTATTCCAGGGGATCTTCCCAACCCAGCGATCAAACCCGTGACTCCTGCATTGGCAGGTGGATTCTTTACCACTGTGCCACCTGGGAAGCCCCAATAACACCATTTGCTGCTGCTGATGCTGCTAAGTCGCTTCAGTCGTGTCCAACTCTGTGCAACCCCATAGACGGCAGCCCACCAGGCTCCCCTGTCCCTGGGATTCTCCAGGCAAGAACACTGGAGTGGGTTGCTATTGCCTTCTCCACTGCATGAAAGTGAAAAGTGAAAGTGAAGTCGCTCAGTCATGTCCGACTCTTCGCGACCCCAGGGACTGCAGGTACCAGACTCCTCCGTCCATGGGATTTTCCAGGCAAGAGTACTGGAGTGGGGTGCCATTGCCTTCTCCCGAGGGCTTCATAAATTAATACACTCATTCATCCAACAAATATGATAAGAACACCTCCAATGTGTCAGACACTATGCTGGGTGCTGGAATTACAAGGAAGAGAAGAACATAGCCTCTGCCTCAGAGTTTATAATAGAAAAGTGTGAAAGTGAAAGCTAAGTCGCTCAGTCGTGTCCGACTCTTTGCGACCCTGTGGACTGTAGCCCACCAGGCTCCTCCGTCCATGGGATTCTCCAGGCAAGAATACTGGAGTGGGTTGCCATTTCCTTCAGGGGATCTTCCCGACTCAGGGATTGAACCCTCGTCTGCTGCATTGCAGGCAGACGCTTTAACCTCTGAGCCACCAGGGAATCCCTTTAAAATAGAGTAGGGGTGGAAATCACATACAACAAAAGTCCCCATATGATACCTGGTCATGAAGATGAAATTCGGCATTCAGTCCTGTCTGGGGTGGGGTGTGCAGTGGACATCTGTTACTTTTGCCTGCTGAGCATCATTCTCCCCTCTGGTAATAACATTCAACATTTCCTTCTGAGACACCACCTCCCCTCCACTCTCCATCTGTATGGTTAAGGTGGGTCCCGCCCCACAGTGGGCACGTGACCCAGGTCTGACCAATCAGAGTTTGGCGTCCCCTGGCCACGGTGACCACGTGACCCAATCAGAGCCTTGCAAGTTGCGCCCTGGCGTGGGTCAAGGCGGAAGCCGTTCTCCTGGGGGTCGCGAGTGGACTCGGCCTAAGTCTGGGGACCGGTGTACACGTGTTTGTTACAGTGTTGTGGTTTATGCATGTTTATTACGATATTCACACCTTCCAGTACTGAAAGTATCAGAGGTGGAGAGGGAGAGGAATCAAAAGGCGGCCCAGAAAGACCCCGTTGGACTCTGGTATGGTTGAAGACCGAGGCACACATGGACTTGGCTATTTGCTCTAAAATGGAGTCTCCCAGCTCTGACTTCTGCGACTCCTGATGGACGTTGGGCAGATAAAAGGGAAGTGTGAGATGCTTGGTTAGAGAAAGTCGTCCCTGCGTTGAGTCGTCAGCAGGCAGGAGGCATTACCAACGGAGAAATGGAAGAAGAGCCATCTCATGCAGCCCACGTGAAAGCCCGCAGGTGAAAGGACGGTGAGTTGATGCGTCTAGATGTGGTTGGGTGTGGCTGGGTTTAATATGGAGAAGTGTGACTTTGAAATTTAGTTGTGCCTCTGAGAAACTGTAAAACTCTGCACTACAGTCTTACCTTCTCTGAACCTGAGATTTCTTCTCTGCAAAATGGGTGCAATAACGTGGGCCATAAGGATTCAATGCAGTGGGGCTAATCAAACACCTGATCCATTACAGGTGTTTAGGTAAATGACTGTAATGATTATCACCGGAATGTGATTATACCTTAACTCGTTATTGACCAGGTGATTCTTGCTGAAACTACTGCTTTGGCTGGCAGTTTTTATTTTGACAAACCAAAAATTAATCGTTATTTAATTAACACTTTGTGGAGTATCACACCCAATAAATTATACCCGACACACCTGTAAAGTCTTCTCATGTACCATGAGTTTTGTTTTCACTTCCCGTAACAGTCAATCACTAAGGTTTTTGTCTTTCTCTTGGTCTAATATTGAGGTCACCTGATTAGAACTATATTCTGAAGAACTGTCCTCTTCAGAAACACTAGTGTATGTGTCACTTGAACAATCAGAGAAAGTATCTCATGAAATTCACCGAAAAATTCTTCTTCACTCAAAATTTCACCATGTGCCAATTTTGAAAATTTTTCAGTAATAAACTTGAGTTTACAATATACATGAGTTGGAAAAAAAACCTAACGGAGCAAAATGTGATAATGATAGTAGTAAGTTGTATAATGAACCTTTGATGAATTTAAGCTTTAACAAACATCACAGCTCTAGTGATGTTAATTGTATCACTGTCTAAAACAAATTGATATATCCCTGGTCCATAATGTTCAGATAACAAAAGACAAACCACATATCAATGATGTGGTTTAAGAGGGAGGGACTGTTGACGTTCTAATTTCCCACGTGGTCCAATGCAGTGTTCTGCTGGAGTTTGAGGTGTCTTAGGGCAAAGATTGGTACCTTAGCACCCTGTCAGCATCTGCCTGGCTGCTGAAGCCTGCCTATTTCTGAGTAAAGCAGGGAATATAGATCAAATATCATTGACTTTGTGGAGTACCCTAGACTAAGCTGTGTGACTAAGCTTCTAACATTGAGACCCAGTTGCCTCATCTTTAAATTCTTTGCCACTAGCAACGTTGTTAGAAGGACTTAAGTGAGATAGTATGTGTAAAGTGGCTGGCACATAGTTGACATGCAATAAATTATAGCTTTCTACTCTGACTACTACTTGCTAATACTACAGTTGGTACCCTTCAAATTTTGAGATACGTGATGCAATGTTTTGTTTTTTTGGTAACTTGATTTATTTTGGGCTGGGCTGGGTCTTCGTTGCTGCAGGGGCTGCTCTCTAGTTGCATTGCCCGGGCTTTTCACTGCGGTGGCTTCGCTTGTTGCGGAGCACAGGCTCTAGGGCACATGGGTTTCAGCAGCATCAGCACGTGGGCTCGGTAGTTGTGGCCACGGGCATGTGGGGTTCTTTACCACTGAGCCCTGCAAGCCCTGGGAAGGCCCTGCAAGGTCTTTAGCAAAGTAATAAGCACCACAAGGGCAAGGCTGTCCGCTTTGTTCACTGCCGTGTGCCCAATGCTTGGCACATAGTAGGTACACGAAAATGAGCTAGCTAAGAACTTCCGCTCCTCCCCACGGGCAGGGAGGTTACCTGCTCCGTCTTCCGGGCAGCCACTGGTACCCTCATCTGGTAACAGTTCAGTCCTAAAACATTTACTGAAGGCTTACTGTGTGCCAGCGTTGTGGTGAGGATGCAGCCGTGAACATGACAGACTCTGACCTTGTGGATCTTAACATCCTAATGGTGGGACACAGGTGATGAACACGCCAAGAAACAGGAGACAAATTCAGATGATAGTAAACACCAGGAAGGAAATCAAAGAGGGTGACTTGATAGAACATGTATGTGGGAGAAGGCTACTTGAAATAAGTCATCGGTACCAGTCATGATACCATTCAAGACCCTGTTGTATCCAGGCACCAGCTAACAGAAGCATCAACACAACTAAAGTTGGCCCCTGGAGTTAATCCACTTGTACTTAATCTCAACGCCTCTCCTCCCCCACAACTCCTAATTATCCACTGGTTGGTACCGCTAAAATCTGCTTGGGACTTGGTAAAAGGGTTTTCCATGGTATGATACACAAAAGAAAAAGCACCCCTGGGCAGTGAGTGCTATAGGCCATTGACCCACATATCATTTTCCCACTGAATGACACGGTAATTGATCAAAGTTAAAAAAAAAATTTATAGAAAGAGATACTGCTGCCATGTTTTTAAAGCGCGCGTTTCTCAGCCAAGTCTCCAGATGGAATCACCGAAGCAACACATCCTTGACTTAAATGTGACTGTTTAACAGTTATATTGGGTAGGCCATATTTTTCCACAAGGAGGTGGTTGCTTGTCTTAGGAACTTGAGACTCTTAACAGACTTTTGGGTGAGAGCTTTCCAGGATACCAGTCTTTTTCTCTCACTTCCTGAAGTCACAGAAGTCAGAGCCCTGGCCGTCGTGTCAGGAGAGGGGAGTGACAGAGCGAATTGTCACCCAGCTCACGGAATGATGAGGTTCTAGGGTGTCCTTATGCCAGCGACTGCCGCTAATGATGCTTCATAAGCATAAGCATGGTTTCATTGTTTGTTTTCGCCTGAGCATTGTCTGCTTTCCCTCCTGGTTATCAGCCTTCTGGTTTTGTTTTGAGGGAGCTGCCGTTCTCCGCTGAGCACAGATCCTTGGTATTGTGAAGAAGTCCCCTCTGGGACATGTCCACCAGCCAGGGGACAGGTGTGGAGCTTAAGTTGAATTATGCAGATGCTTTATTTGGAATTCAACTCTTGAGCAGAGGGACAAGACTACAGATGACTGGACCTCATTCATTTCAAGGAGACCCGAGGGTCAGCCTGTTACATATCCTGAGTTGCCCTAATTCCTGCCCTTCCAAACCTTCTATTACAACCTTCTCTTCTGTTCTGCTAGCTCCCTCATAACCTTCCAATGAATTAATTTTCCACATAAATTGGCCAGAATTCTCTTCTGTAGTTTATAACCAAAAATATTGACTAGTACAGTAATCTCACCCATGACTCACCTTCTCCTTGTAATCCTTAGAACATCTGAAGTTCAAGATTGGTTTTCCATGCGCTTCATTTTTATAGTCTGCCTAAATCCCTTCTTCTGGTTGTGAGAATCTTTCAAGTAGACATGTCCTACTTTGCGACGTGAAAGAAGTTTGGAGGAAGAAAACTCTATAACCCTATCCACACATCATATTTATATACAGAATAAAAATGTCTTCAGAGGTGGGGTTGAGGCTCAGCCAAGGAACTCAGGGAAAAGTTAAAAATACAGCACCACCATGATGAGCTTTAGGAAAATTTCTCAGGGAGGGAAATGGGGAAATACTGATCAAAGGGTATAAACTTCCAGTTAGAAGTTTCATACGTTTTTGGGATCTGATAGACAGCACTGTAAGTCTAGTTAACAATACTGCATTTTATACTTGAAAGTTGCTAAGAGAACAAATCTTCAATGTTCTCACCACAGAATATAAATGGTGATTATGTGACGTGATGGAGGTGTTAGCTAACACTGTAGCAGTGATCATTTCACAATATACGTGTATCAGATCAGCATGTCATGCATCTTATAATTGATATAACGTTGTGTCAGTTTATCTTAATAGAACTTTGGGAGAAACAAGAAGATACCCCTCTTCCCCACCAAAACAGCAAAGAAGAATGAGCTCTTAGGATATAATCTAGTTATTTTTTTCTGTACTCCCATGATGTAGGAACAACTTAAGTGAAGCTGACTGAAAAAGAGGACATCTCAGCGTAGACTTTAGGAAGATACTGACTGAGGTCAAGCGGTACCATGGAAGAAGGCTGGTTTCCCTTCCTAGGGTCTGAACCTAGAAGTCTGTGCCTTGTTTGTTGAAGGACATGGACCCTAAAACCTGGTGGACCTAAGAGCCAAGAACCATCATTTATCATTTGTCCCTTTCCAGAAGTAAATCAATCTAATTTCACTCAAAACCACTTTTTAATAAGGTAGTCAATAAAAATATTAAGTCAAGGTAACATATGGGAGGAAAATAGATGGGCTGCTAGGTTACTGAGAGAAAGGGTTACTGATGGTGACAGACACTGGCCTTCCTGGTAGCCATAAGGAAGGACAGTGGGTTATATTCTGACATTGTCCAAGAGACGCCAGAAAACAGAACAGCTTCCTTGATCAGATTTGTCTTAATAGGTTTCAAGTTAGTGCTTCGGCCTTGAATATTGTGAAGTGTGCACCCAGAAACCGGTGTGCAGGTTAACACCAGCTGGGTTGTATAGTAATAAGTAGAAGGTGCCAGCCGACTTCTGTCATGTCCAGAGCTCACAGAGGGGAAAAATGTGGAAAGTCAAAATGCTCTGACTTGTGGCTAATTCATGAAAATGCATGACTTTTAGATAAATTGTCCTCTTGGCCTGAATTTTCTCTCACATAAATTTCTCACATACTACACGTCTGTGATAACATGTGCAGGTTCTCTCTGGGGAGGAGAGCAGAGCGGAGTTGGATGTCTTAAGTGAGCCAGAGTAAACGTGGGATTTAAAACTGTAGGCCGAAGATTAATTTGAAGAAGATGCGGGGTCTCGATGGCTTTCTCTCAAATCTTTAAAATTGACATAAGACCACTGACGATCTACTGCAAAGGAATATTGTGTTGGAAGAAGAACGCACTGCTGTTTGCAGTTGCGTCCCTCGAGGGTTGCTCCGCGGAACTCACAAGTGGAAGCTCTGTGCTTAAAGTGCTCCTCACATCACTTCTGCTTAGATCATGGGAAATCAATAGCTTCGGAAGTCAGTGTTAGGTATTCCGTCCTCTGGGAAAATAGATGCCAGAGTGCCTGCAAGAGAGAAGAGATTTTCATTTCCCCATGAGTTTTTTTTTTTTTTTTTTTTAAATTGTGGCTGGTTTTGTTTGGTTGGAGTTTTCCCCACGTCTGATAGTTTGCACCTGTGCTTCTTGTTCTATAAAGTGGCCTCCTCCTCTCCCTCACTGTTCTTCTGGCTGGCTCCTGCTCATCCTTCAAGCATAGCCTGCATCACAAAGGTCTTTCTTGGAAAGGAAGGACATACATAATATAAACTTGATAGTGACATTGGGGGTGGGTCTGGTCTTTGTGAGGCTTATCCTTGAAAAGAGCCCTGGCTCCCCTCACTCCACCTCCTTCATCCTAGGTGGGCTTGTATTAAGGCATGGTTAATTTTTCCTTTCTTGTTTTCACTTGGGGGACCACAGTGTGGGGCTGTCAGCCATGTATGTCCCGCACCCAGTTGCACGCTCATCAAATCTAGGTCTGAATGAAGCTAGGTACTTCCTCCTTAAAAAAAAAAATCGAGTATTGAAAAGGATATACAAAGTTCAGAAGATAACTGTTGCTGGTTCCCTCCTCTCTAATTAGGGGACAAGAACTTAAATCAGCAGCATTTATGTTCTATCATGAGAACTCATGGGCTTTCCTGGTGGCTCAGATGATAAAAAATCTGCCTGCCAGTGCAGAAGACTCGAGTTCAGTTCCTGGGTTGGGAAGATCCCCTGGAGAAGGGTGTGGCTGCCCACTCCAGTATTTTTGCCTGTACAATCCCATGGACAGAGGAACCTGGCAGGCTATAGTTCATGGGGTAGCAAAGTGTTGGACACGGCTGAATGACTAACACATGAGAACGAGTATTTGTTTGGTATTTACTATGCACAAGAATTTTGTGAATAGTAGTTTTTATTTCTCTCAAAGCTTCCGGGCACATGCCCTTTTATTTAGGGGAAAAGGGAGTTCCCAAAGACTGCAGTGGGGCCCAGCTGTTTTGGGGCAAGTGCTGATGACAGGGTTCACTCCTTCTGTGCCCTTCCCGCCTTCTCAGGGTACTCTCCCCTCCTGACGTGCCTCAGTTCTCTGCCCCCTCAAAGCTTAGTTCAACATAACTTCCTTCCTCCAAGTGCCTCATTGAAAACTCACAGCTTTTTGTCTGTAGCTCTTGTATGATGTCTGACATTTTTCTTCCTTGGATCACCAATGTCTTCTTCAGATCACTTCCCCGGGGCTCAAGCACTTTCCAGTCTGCCTGCAGCCTGAGGCTACAATCCCATCCTGTGTCTGCTGTCCTTCAATGCTTTGCGGACTAGCTGTCCTAGTGTCTTTCTGTCCTTGCAACAAGCCACACCTGTTCATATCTCGGGCTCTAGAATATACAGTCCCCTCTGCCTGATGTTGGAAAGATCTCCTGGAGGAGGACATGGCAACCCCCTCCAGTATTCTTGCATGGAGAATCCCATGGACAGAGGAGCCTGGCAGGCTACAGTCCATGGGGTCGCAAACAGTTGGACACGACTGAAGTGACTTAGCATGGACTGCCCGATGTACTGTGTTCCCCATCATTATATTTAGCTCCTCTGTCTCATGAAGACTCACCTACCTCCAGTATCACCTCCTTGAAGATGTCCTTCTCAACGCCTCGACCCATTCTCTAACCTCATCTAGCATTATGCAAGGATGCAAGGACCTGGATTTTGTTTTCAGAATGATCACAACTAGCCATTTTTGTCAGCTGATTTTCTTGCTTGTGTTTCTGTCCTTCTCCACTCTAAGCTCCACGAGGGCAGGGACCACGTCTTCCATAATGGTGGCACATCCCCAGCACCCACATGTCTGGACTAGCCCCAGCACCTGGCCCACAGGAGATGCCCAGTAACTGTTTGCTGCAAGATATCAGATCACATCACTCCTCTGCTTAAAGCCCTTGAATGGGTAAATATCATTTACCACTCCTAATTCTGACTTTCAAGGTCCCGCACCCATCCCCTTAAATTGGCGTCTGAGCTCGTCGGCCTGTTCCCCCTCACTCGCTCCAGGCCTGCTTGATATTGCTCACACATGCTGGGTAAGCCCCTGCCTCAGAACCTTGGCACTTGCCATGCCTTCCTCTGGAACTTTTCCCCCCATGGATTCTCTCTCTCTTTAGGTCTTTACTCACTTCTTGCTCTCCGAGGAAGGCCTTCCCTGCCAGTCAGTTTGAAATGTGAAACTTTCCTTTCTATGTCCACAGCGTCACACTCATTCCCACTTTTTCCTTCTTCCCTTTCCTTCTTTATTAGGGCAGGGATTTTTATGTATTTTCTTCATTGCTGTATTCCGTGGATCCCAGAATAGCACATAACACGTAAGAGGTGTTTAGTAAATTTGGAATGAATGATTATCTTGGCCTTTCTTATCTGCCCCATTGTTCTTCATGGCCCTCAGGGTTCCAGCAAACATTCACTGAATATCACATCGAAGAATGAATTAATATGTCCCTGGATAGTAAATGCGGTCCCCTCAAAGAGTGTGCCAGACACATTTGAATAAACTACAGGCTTCCCAGGTGGCGCTAGTGGTAAAGAACCCACCTGCCAACGCAGGAGATGTAAGAGAGGTGATTCTGATCCCTGGGTTGAGAAAATTCCCCTGGAGGAGAGCATAGCAACCCATTCCAGTATTCTTGCGTGGAGAATCCCATGGACAGAGGAGGTCTGGTGGGTTACAGTCCGTAGGGTTGAAAGAGTCAAACATGACAGAAGTGACTTGGTGTGTGTGTGTGCGCGTGCACACACACACACACACACACACACACACACATCTTCAGCAAACACTTCATAGTCTTTGAGAGAAATAATATTGCAGTAATACTGCAAAGCCTTAACTTTCAGTTATCATTGGTGAGTCTGGCTAATCATGAATGAAACAAAATGTCTTGCTATCTTTTTTCTCCTCTCATTGACATCTCTCCTGGCTTCCCCTCTGCAGACTCACAGTTTCTTTTCATTGAAGACCATCTCTGGGCTGAGAAGCTGGCTTCTGAGGATGGAGCAGTTCTATCAATGAATTGGGGTGTATAAACTTTTGGTTTAGCTTTATTCTTCAGAGAGAACAAAAAAATCAGAAATTGTTGAAGAGAGTGGATTTATGAAGCATTTTTCAACCTTATTTCTCCAAAACTAAAAGCTGTAGTTCAAGAGTGACTTTAATTAGTATGGCTTTCTAGTTCCTGCAGGTCCCAAGGTGGGGACTGGCAGCTGCTTCTATAGCAGCTGGGCTGTGGGGGTCATATGAACCTTGTGAAGGGAATTGTCTGAGTTTGTTCTTGTTTATTTGCAGAAGTAGACCTTCCTTTCAGGGTATAAAACATTTTCCTCTCGTAGAGCTCTTGGGACGTGTCCCTGCTCACCTCGTTTTCTCCCAGGGTTCACTTTTGTCCTTGGGTTTGCTCTTTCTTCTCAGCCAGCATCTTGAGCTGCTCTCCACCCTAGCACTTGGCACCCTCTGCTGCTTTCACCGCCTTCCTCGCCCCTGCCCATCCTCATTTATAAGCTTCTTGAGCAGAGGGAGAGTAGGGGTTCCAAAAGAAAAAGAAAGCTCATGGAAAACATTAATAAAAAGAGTAGGGACTTCCCTGGAGGTCCAGTGGTTAAGGCTCTGCGCTTCCACTGCAGGGGGTGCAGGTTGCATCCCTGGCTAGGGAACTAAGTTCCCACGCGCTGTGGGGTATGGCCAAAAAAGGAATTGAGGAGACATAGGCGTGACAGAAGCAAGGAGCTAACCAGAAAGGATGAAAGCTGCCATGCATCAATTCTCCCGCCCGCAAAAAAAGAATATAATTCATTCTCCTCTTTTCATTAGTCATTTGGGTTGCTAATTTACATTGCTAAATGTGAGTCACATTCTAACTACCCTTCTCAGATGAGGAATGAAGGAAAGAAAAGTCCCATTTTAACCTTTTGAGAAATTTAGGCAAAAATATTTGCAGAATCCTTATCTCATGACCTTGATTTAAAAAAACAAAATAATTACATCTCAGCACAGTTTAAATGCTTCTGAGAGAGGCCTGTTAGAAATCCCTTCTTTAGAGTATTTTTACAAAGTATGAGCATTCATGAAAAAATTGTAAGGGTTAAAAAGCCATGAATTTTCATAAAAACTCATCTTCTGTTAATAAAAAAATGCCCTTAAGCCAAATAATTTCTAAATCTTACTTCAGAATTGCTTCTGTTCTGTAGCACTTAGACTGATCAATTTTCAGAAGTTGTAGGAGAGAAAATAAATTCTGTCTCCAAACGATGTTTATAATCTCAAATCTAAATTAAAACATGTCGATTCCACAGCAATAGTCACTATGGAAATAGAAACATATAGGCCTCGATTCTAAATCAAGAGAGTGTTTAGCTGGGTGGTATATATTTTCCATCATGTTTTTGAAAAATCTGTTACAGTGTATGCATTTTCAAAGGCTTGGATTTGATAAGCTTCTAAGAAATTGTACATGTGTGGGTCAGATTAGATTTAAATGTGCTTTGTACACTTTGCAAATGTGGTTTATAAAGTCTTGTCCCTATTAATGAAAATCCCTGTTGAACCATTAGATTTATTTTATGGGATTTTAAATAATAAACATATTTGAAATCCATGATAGCTTCTGTCACAGGCAGATATAGCTATACATTATCTCCATTCAAATTCTACTAAAAATCAAATGTTGTATTAATACTAACAAGTGTAGAATGGATTTTAAAGAGTTTAAATAGAATTGCCACTCACATCTCTATTTACACCTAATTATCAAGCTTTCTTTAGTTTTAGAAACTGTTTAAAAATATATTTGCTAGTTTAAAAAACTGTCAGCTTAAAAAAAAAACCCAGAAGTAATAATAGAAATAATTTATTCTAAAAGGTGTATTTTGCACACACACAAAAAAGGAAGAGATTTAAAATTTATTTAGAAGTTTTACATGTTAAGAAAGCTTTTGCCCCTATGTTTGGCTGAATAAATGTTCCACCTTTTCAACTTGTTCTAGTAAATACTCAAGAAATATTTCTTCAACCAGAATCTGCATGCCTACTATGTGTTGGGTGATGTTCTAACATTGAATGTCACTTAAGTAACAAAAAACAAAACATATGCTGTGATCATTTTGCTTTAAATAGCATAAGCCAAGCATATAACTCCTTTACATAAAATACATAATTCCCATTTAGAAATGACATCATTCCTTTCTTTCAAGGAGCTCAAGATGTTTTTTGAGTCAAAACAGTTATCTTCACATTATCCTCCTGAACTTAATGAAAACCAAGTGCTACCTACTTTTTCCTGCACCTGGCATGCCTTTCTAAAAATTATGAAGAGTCCTTGGTGAAGACAGAGTGATACAGCACTTCTGCCCATTCCTTGCCTAGCTAATCGTTTCTCATCAGTTGCGAAATGAGGGTGGCCTAGCATCCCCTTTCCCACAAAAAGATCTCTTGTCAAAATTCAGTCATTTTCCTTCTTTCTCTCCAGCCCTTAGATTAGATCAGCATCTCTCCCCCTGTTGATACTTAACTTCAGAAGTCACCTGCTTTGATACACCACACAGTACCATGTAGTCTGAGATCATTAGCTGAGATCTTTCTCACTTGCAGCTGACACCTTATAGTCATGCCTCCAGACATTTTGAGATCTATGATATATGAAATTCAGACGTTTGAATTTTTGCCCCCTTGTTCTAATAGTGTTAACCTAGGCACCAATTTTTTTGTTGTTGATCTTTTCTTCTCTCTACTCAGCCTCACCCTGTTGGCTAGGGTACTCCTAAATTTCTCAGAGACTGGTACATTAGTGTTTTTCTTTGATCCCATCCCAACTTGTGTTTCAAGCTGAAATGACCAGCTGTTCTGGAGTCACACAGATCCACTCAGTTTAAGCTCACAGTTTACTTAATAAGTAATAGATAGGAAGTTTAGTTTAAAATACTAAAAAAGCTCATGTATCATTTAAGAACTCTTAGCTGCAAGTAACATGCAAGAGGCTTAAAGGGTAAGGAAACTGACCATTTCACATTGTAAGAAGCTCAGAAGTAGGAGCCTCAAGTCTTTTTATGTGTGGTTGTCTTAGATTGGTTTTCCTCTATGTGATGAAGTTCTCTTTGAGGCTGGTAGAAAGATGCTGCAGGGGACCCAGCCTCATGTGCAGCTCTTGACAGTGTCCAAGTGAATAATATTTTACCTCTTAGAGAAGCAGGAGAAACTTTGCCAGAACCCCCACCCCCCTCCAAACTGGCTTACTCTCCCATCTCATTGGCCAGAATTTTATCACATGTTCATTCCTAAACCAATCAATGGCAGGGAGAAGGGGGTTGCCATAACTGGATTAGGTAAAAGGGTTTATGTAACCCAGCTTCCCTAAAGCGCTTGAGGTTTGGGAAAAGGTGATATTTGAATAAAATAAAGTTGCAGTTAAGCAGGCGGAGGAAGCAGTGTTATAAATGTTAGATAGCCAGTCACATTCACAAAGTCACAGTGGCATTTTGGAACTGATGGGTGGTTTCCCCCAGGTGATCAAAAGGAAGGCCAAGTGTAATATATTTATCTTTGGGATCATGAGCATTTTTTTCAATCCATATCTCAGTACAATAAAAACACTTGGTATATATAAATTTAATGTTGGAAATTCCC